GGCATCGCGGACATGGACAGCGGGTACGTTCTCTTAGTTGTCGTGGTCGTCGTGACAGTCTTGGTTTCAATGCATTCGGAGACCTCAAAGTGCAGGTGGGATGTGTCAGGGCCAGGACGGCCTTGTTGTCCTCGTCAAAGGTGACGGAGACAGTCTGGCTGGAGGCTGGTCGCCTGGCTTCGACGGGTGCGGTGGGGGGACCTGGCGACGGTGTCATGACGACGGCAGGGTCGAAAAGACCCGCGTCCGAGTAAGATAGGTAAGAGAAAAAAAAGTTGTGGTATGGATCAAGGCGGGATAGTTTGTGGGCGGTATCGGGGGAGTCGACAACGCGTGGGAGAAGAAACTGGTGGCGGTTGAGAAGGGCTGGGTTTGACCCAAGCGGTGTTCCGCCTGTAGCGACAATTCGTCAGGGATGACAAGCAGTGATAGTGATGGAGGCTTGGCGCAGGCGTGCTCGAGTGACAAACGAAGGCCGAAAGACTTGGATGGAAACGTGATGCTTCGCAAAGATCGAGTTCAAGAAGAGATGCGTTGTTGTCAAGGCCAGACCATGGTCAAGTGTGCGGCGGAGTAAAAGGGCGGGGGGTTCGGCCTCCTTGTCGTGCTGTGACTTGTCCCTTGTTCCCTCCAGTAGCATTCGCCGTCTGTGGGAGGGTGTAAGGCAGGTCGGATCGCAGTGGTCGCTCGACAAAGTCGGGGGAGGGTTCGAGAGGGGTCGAACAGCGTCGGCAGTGTATGGAGGAGGAGAAGGAGGAGGGGTGGAGGAGAATGTGTAGAGTCCGGCTGCTTACGGTGTTCGAGGTAGCCGGCGAACGTTGATGGTGGGAGGAGGAGTAGGAGGTCAAGGAGGAGGAATGTGTCTCTCTGGCTGGCGGTGGTTCTACTGGGCTTTCCTGCCTTGCGAAACCAGGATCCATTCGCCAGTGCACTTGCCCGTCCCTACAGCCCGGCCTTGCCATACCTCGTGCACTGCACCTGCATCCCAAAAAACCGGACCCTCTTTTCTCGTTAGTCAGTCGATTGTTAGTGGTCAGTGGCCAGTGACCAGTGCCAAGTGCGCCTGAAGGAGGCGGCAAGAGCGATACGCAGTGAGACAGCGAGCGGTCGGGGACAGCCAGGCGCCGGAGGCGAGGAAGCTAGGGGCCTCCCAGGAGACAAGGAGACAAGGAGGCAAGGAGGCTAGGCTTCTCCGCTTGTCTTGAGCCCTTTGCCCCCAGCTCGACACTGTGCACGCACCGTCGTTCTGCGCCCCTCGGCCCCCTCACTCACCCCTTCTTCTCCTAGTCTCTTCTGCCTTGCTCGCCTCCCTCCTTGGGCCTGCCCTGCCTGCCGCCTAGGTACCTCGCAGGCGAGTGTTTTTTCTTCCTTTGGCAGCCGACGAGTTATTCTCAGACGAGTCAGGCTCGTGGCCTTAGGGGCCAATGTCACTCACCCCACGATCCTCCCGCCTGTGGTACTTTCTCGCTAACAGTGGCTGACCCCGCACAGACCAGCGCATGAGGTTCCTCGCGTTCCTTGATTCCCACCAGCGTCTCGACTCGAGGGCATCAAGGTCACATCAGGGGGCGGTTCAGCATCGGCAGCGTCGTGCCAATGCCTTCCAGGCAGTTGGGGGGGGGGGGCAATGTGCTGATGAATCCATTGGCGCCTCTGCCTCGGGGTGAGGCAGCTGTGCGTCATTCACATTCCTCTGCCTCCTAGATTTCGCTTACATCAAGATGACAACCTTAGCCGTACGCTCCGAGCCCTACGTGCCTGCTGCCGAAATGTCTGGCTGCGTATTCTGCTCACCTGCTCAAGCCCTAAATAGACTTGCTGGTGTTCACCTGTTGCCTCTCGCGCCGTGTAGTGCTTCTGAGGCATCCGGTGGTAAGCAGCGCCCCTGGAAGAGACTCGGACCGGGGGCCGCACTCCGGCACTTTCGGAAACGCCTCTGGAGACTCGCCGACGCTTGGTGGTCTGGTTGCACCGTCGTCGTCGCCGCCTCGTGCTGGAACGTCCGAGAAAGCGTTTGCCTGGTGCGACCCGGGTCCCACGCTTCGTAGAGCATGCAGTAAATTGTCCGTCCACGGCGAGACGCTTCTCACTACTGAGCGCCGCCGCCGAGAACCTTGGGTGAGGTACCTGTGTACCTACCCTGAGAAGTCTCCACTCAGCCACAGTACCCGCCACAGATACGGTCAGCCCGACGCTGATCTGTGTGATTCCAATCCCAAAGCCGGGGCCGATACCAGTACCTTAGCCATAGGTAGCAGGGAACTTTGTTGGGACTGTCAAAGGCATCGGGCTGGCCGCGAGCAGTTATTGTAGTACCCACATATAGGCGTGACGCTCTGAGAATATGCGCGCGGAAACAAGTGATCATTTGGTACTTGGTCAAGATAGTCTAGCAAATGTTTCGCTGCATGTCATCATTCATAAACCTTCTTTCCTGCGAGCTATCTCCCTCGTTCATAGCGTCCAACATCAAAGCCTTACGCAATGTAGATGGGCAGTCGGCTTCCCCGTAGCTCGCTCTTCGAGATTTGTTTGTCGTTCTTGTTGAAGTCATGAAGCATCAGCCAACAGATCATCCGGAACACGAGCGTGCACCATATATCTTCATGTGAGACGTCGTCCGTGGGCAGCTTCCAGAGTTCATCCTCCTCTGCCACATCATCATCTTCATCCTCGTCCTCTCCGTCTTCTTCGTCACCGTCTTCAGAGGCTTCCACAATCGTTTGTCCCGCGGTTCGCTTTTGGCTGCTTGGTGTGGCCAGCGGCAGCATCGGGGTTAGAGATTCGCGCCGTTTCGTTGAACGCAAAGCCGTGCCGATGACCTTGTTACGGATTGCTTGGAAATAAACCTCCATGAGCTTGGCCTGTTTGTCCTCGGGAGCCGCGGAATCAATATCCTCAAATCGTGCGGTGTGCTGTCGAACTGAATGGGGCTTTGCGCCTCGGCATCCTTTTCGTTGACCTTCTC